TGTCGACATCCCAACCTGATGGACGGTCCTTCGCTACGATGGGCTGTAGGACGTACGAGAGCTTGGCATCTTCAAGAGCAAGTTCGATTTTAAACTCCCAATCGAGATAATTGGAGTCGTCACCGGGGGGACGGAGTGGAGTAATCCCAGATAGTTTGATTGTCTTATCTGTACTGTCGGTCATTGTTCCTTCGGACCTTTCCGAAACGAAGGATACAGACGAGAGAAGATTGAAGCAGATGTGCGATGATGATTAGAGTTTTAGAAAGTAGATTCAAGAAGCTAATTGAGTCGTTCGAAGAACTAGGAATTGAGATATGGTTTTAATTCAGTCGGTAGACTCTGGGCTCATAACCTCTTGAGCTCTGGAACAGTCAGAGAAAGAGACAAAGGAAAGGTGTGTAAATTTCACGGACTAAATCAGACAAAAAACAGAGAAACAGAAAACAGAGAGAAATCCTACCTGGAACAGTCAGAGAAAGAGACAAAGGAAAGGTGAAGAAGAAGCACCTTTCCTTGACTGCTCCAGTAGGATTTATATAGTGAAACTTTTACATAACGGTTTTCACATGATGTAATATGTTTGTTGAGCACACACTTAGATTCTACGTATCATGGGTTAGTCTCACAGGACTTTTACATAAAGAATTAAAAGTCATGCAGGACTATCCCAACAGATTCAATTATTTTCTGAGCTTGTACACGTAAACCTCTTAGACTTATCAATAAATCACGGTACACGGTTTGGCCATTTTCACAGGCTTGTAACGTCCATACAAGGGTCTTATCCTATCGAACAGGCTAAGTACGGTCTTGTTGACCTAGCAAACCAAGTAAAAGCGCTTGGGCTACAGTCAGGACCTACTACAGGTCGTTTGGTGGAATTGGAATGTCAAGTTGGCCATTGGACCATGTCCATCTACACCAAGATTGGGACCTGATAACACTTTGTCTGCGCACAGGGATCGTCGATTGGCGCATATAATCTCCAATGGCTGACATCCTTTCATCGCGCTGCGGCCGGTCAAAGACCCACCGACATGGATACCAGCTACGTTGGCTCAGATGATGAATATCCTCCTGTGAAAATCGTTTATCCAACACTCGAGACCGTGGACGATAGTATTGGTGGACAGCCAGGCGCACAAACTTTGTTTTGCACTCGAGCCATGTGGATAAAGGATGACTACCCAAAGCATCTTTTTGTGAATTCAAAGTCAAAAAGAACAGGCTTGATCATGCACGTCAAGGTAAGCCCATAATAAGAGGTCATGATACTGATATACATGGACATGTCGTCTCTAATTGGACACAGCTAATCAAAGGACTCGTCTTTTCGCATGATGGAATTTCAGATGATCCTTGGACTCTTTAGAGATTTGGGAAAATCAGGTCTGCAAAAAGGAAACGTGAAAGCAAGCGCGGAACCGAGTTCTTCAAAGAATAAAATTAATGATTCTGACTCTTCAAATTTCATCGATACCCGCGCCAAAGGTTTCCTCTATGTTGGATCTCATAATTTGTATATGTCACTCTCTCATAGCTCACATTCTTCATAGCTATATGTAATTGTTCTTATCTTGTCATCCACGTTTTTGACATCGTAGTACTCCTGCAGCTTGGGGTAGACTAGTTGCATCGACGTCTTCCTCAAAACGCAAGTCAAAGTCTGGTGATAACATTCAAGCGAGCAAATTGGAAATCTCGAATGTTTAGTCCCATTCCCTCAACATATATCTGGAGTCCTACTTTAGCTGACTTTTATTGCTTTTTTGTAGTGGGAATTGGGCGTCGTAATGCCATTATCATCTGACGAGGAAGTGAAGTCTTTGCCCACCTGGGAAAGACCAGCGAAGAGATACAGTGACGGAAAAACTAAGAATAGTAAGATCCCATGGTACGCAAATCCTCCTCCAAAGCTAGCTTTTGAGGACTCTCTAATCGATTTTTTTACTCTGGATGCATATTCATTACATAATCGTCACAGGATGCAGTATTCTTACCCAGTCACTTGAAGAATCATCAATTGAACGTACCGTTTCGTCTATATATGTACTATTGAATCTCAAGAAAATGTTTTAGTATAACCGATCTTGTACTCTACTAGAATTTCACCTAAACCTTTCAAACCTGCCCCCCCAATCTATGATGCATCATGACCCGAAGTTTGAAAGTGCTATACAGACAATCAATCTATAATTCATAGACATTTACTACATTTTGACGCTATGAGCACGCCCCCCTGATTTGGCTGCTAACTAGGTCATTGAGCTATCTTCAGACCATTCAAAGCCCACTGAAGAGGTATGTCAAAAGACCAACTTGAATTTCCATTGGACAAATCAGCTGGATTTCTGACGGATGAGTCGAAGTCTCCTGATTTGCTTTGACACGCCTTGATCTCTTTGGAAAGTCGATGTTAAAAAATTATAAATGTATAATTTTTGTTGCGACGTTGCTGAGCCTGGTTATCTCTCGTCCAGCCAGAGTCCCATATACCGCCAAGAGGCTTTATGTAGCTATGTGGGACCTCTCGTTGCCGTCCCTTTCGAGTTTTGACCCTTGTATCCTTTTTTGTGAACTTGAGCGCATAACTCTTTATTTTCTTCCTTTGTCATGTGTTTTCATTTGCATGAGAAATTTCCCTACCTCGACCATTTTCACCTCGAGGTTTTTTGCAGATCAGCCACAAGCAAGCCTAATCTCATGCGCACCAACCATCCTATCAGTTCGGAAATTTCAGCTGTGGTATAAAAAACATATTGTCCGAAAGATTCAGTACACCCCCTACAAGAATGAAAAAAGAACCCTTGATGTTAACTGAATTCTGATTCGGTAGCTGGACAAATTTGACTCGATTGACTGAACCTGTCAGGTATCAGTGTTAGTTTACTGCAGTCTTAGTCTGCCCATAGTCATCATCTGGGAGATAGACAATTCGAAAAGAAAGAAGACCCACTCATGTTCAAGTTTACCGAACAAGACTGTGTACATGGTGCAAATTCAATTACTATGGCAAGATGAGATTACATCCCTAATCTTCTTGGTGAATTGGGCCTCAGGAATTGGAGCTTCTCCTCGGGGCGAGGAAAACAGGAGACGAGCACAGTGGTATTTGACTAACCCTTGCCTACAGATTCACGGCTGGGGATTTTTACAAATCTTCAGTTAATCATTTAACTAATCACGATTGGAGTTGCTCTGGCAGGACTGTCAAAATTTAGTGTCTGAAGACACTTACGTAACCGTGTGGTATTATTGATAGACATACTCTATCTGAGGACCTCAGGACGTAAGAAGATTGAAAAAATTTCAGGTGGTGAACCAGCCCCTGACATGCATTCAGCCAGTGGAACGATGCGCCAGCTCAGATGATTTCAACCAACTCTAAACATGACTAGTAGGAGGATCACGTGAGTTAGCCTTGAAGTTGGCTGCTGAGGAATGCACCAAACTGTTTGATCAGTTAATTCTTCCCCTTGCCTATTAAAGGCAGGCATTAAGCTCAAGGGGATCAGGATCGAGTCCCTGAAGCTCAGTATGATTGTTTTCGTCAGATGCGTTGGTGTTCCAGATACACGCAGCTCAGTGAAAGCAGTGAGCTTGGATTCACTGCTCACCCTGTCCGAGGGATTTCCAGCCTAAATTCAACCAGTCCTATATGGGTTCAGGGAGCATTACGCCCAATTTGCAAAAGAGAGGCAACTTTTCTTTGTAATCATCCATTTCTTCAACCGCTCGCCCCATTTTCCCGCTCGTTCGGTGCAGTGGGATTTCCATGTCAGATAGCTGGCAGGCTTTTGATCGACACATACAAGTTTTCTTCAAATCACATTCGACTCGAGCTTAGGCTGATCCAAATACTGTCAAAATCATCTCGACCTCTGAGCAAAAGTCGCTATCCACCCTCGCCTTTCACAGCTGACACGCCTTCTGTCATATCAGGTTGTTGGCAGAGACCTGGGAACTACTTTGTGGATATCCTTTCCGTCGACCCTCTCCTGACCTCTTGAATCCGATTGCAGAGCCAGAAAGTTGTCTGTCGTTCACCTTATCTTCGGGTGAGGACTGTCTTGGGCTCATCCGCAACTCCGACATTGATTTGCGACCGACCATCTTTGTCTCTTGAAGGCAGAGCCCGACACTTGCTCGTTTCGACGTGTTCCACACAGCTTCATCTTACCTGAGTTCATCCACCGGGTACGTTAATATCCGAGATCCATTTCGATCAAGAATTACTTGGTGAATCTTTCGATTCATGCTCATACTTGACTCAAATGAAATAAATAAAATGAATTCATAATCCCAACTGACATCATCAAAACACCTTCAACCTCCCTGAAAGAGCTTCTAAGCAGGTCTAATGTTTAATTACCGTTTATTCTCAGTCTGATAAACATCATCAGCTTTTGGCATTGAATCTGTACATTACTGATTATGATGTCACCTTAAATCAAATAACATCCCCATCTTTCTCAAACTGCCGACTTCTATCATAAAAATCTCGACAAAAACATGTGTCGAAAGATCACCAAAGTCGTTTATGGCATACCACTCCCAGCAATCTCACTACTTCACGCAGCTTCCACCCTAGAAGAAACAAGCGAATCGGCAACAATCGTGAGAGCCCAAAGAGGGAAATCCTGGCTACCTACGGAAATACTCGAACTGATTGCCTATCATCTGGTGGCTGGTCGTGGAGCCATCTCCAAATCTAAATGGAAAGCAGGACTCACTACCGCCTCACATCCTTGTCGCGAGCCATGTGAATGGTGTTTCCTACTGCGTATTGATGATTTAATCGAAGCGTCCACCTCTGATGAGGACAATCGTATCCAAGTTGAGCTTCACCGTTATATTTCTCTTATTTTTTTTTCCTTGACCTCAATCCTATAACATAGAGTTCCAACGATTTATATTTCTGATATGCAGAACTTGAACAAATTTCTTTCCGGCCCCGAGTTCAAATTCGAACTTGCAAGTAAAACACCCATTCACACTACGATTGCTGAAATAGAGAGCGCTGAAGGACTGGAGAATAGTGCATCCAAATGCGAAGAACGTATTGGGGAGCCTGTTTGGGTTGTTTGTCTGAAAACGGCCGCTCAAGAAACATCAAACATCAACATCGCAGACTTCACGTCCACACAAGTGGCTGATATAGACTTTTCGGACTGTCCAGTTGACATGATTGAAGGCCCAGCCACGTTCATCGAGCCTGCTTCGTTCAAACCTTCATCACCTCACGAGGAAAATGAAGAATGTACGATTCGGTTGAAGCAGCTTTTGGAAGCTTGTGATGTAGTGTTAGATTCCTCAGATTTCTCATTCACCGAGTGTCGAAAGCTTCTCAGGTGGTGGACTGTGACAGAGATAGAGTGTCAATGCCTTTAACTTCAATTTACGATACTTCTCCTTAGAAATGTGCAACATCCAACAACCTCAACTCCATCAACTTCGATAACTCCAATCTTTTCGATCTGTTTGCAAGTCACCCTCAGGCTCCATGCACACCCACGTTTATGAGACCATCCAAGAAGTTTGAACTTATCTTCGAACACTTAATTTTGCACAGCCATGAATCATACAGTCCATCTCGTCAGAGTGTCCCTCTGTATCTCGAATTTACTCTTCACTTTAATACTACTTGGACATTTGGACTATGTTTTGAAATTTTGTTTCAGATTTAATTCCCTTTAATTCCGTTAATTCCTTTTAAAATAGTTGTTTTTGAAACCACAAGAAGTTGAACAGGATTCTTTTGCATTGCCTGATCTTAATACATTTTTTTCAAGTCTTTGAGATTCATAGATATAATCAATTGCTAAACTTTGAAAAAAGACTCTGTACATGAGCTCCCTGCCGCCTGAATGACTGCCTTTATGAGAAACAAGGCGAAGAGATGACCTGAAGTTGATGGCATCCTTTGTTCTAGTTCAGATAGCCCTTAGGTTTGAAAACTGTGACTTTTTCACAAGTTTAAAATTGTGATCTTGAGTTTAACTGGGTGCAATATATAAGACAAAAAGTGGAGCTAATATCATACAATTTTCACAATATGTTACATGCACCTTCCTAGTTTATCAAAATCAATGTCTCATGAATAATAAAATTGGACTGAATCATCAGTTTGGGGTTATCTTGTATTTCTTTCCAAGGATGCTATTGTGAAGAAAGCCCCAGTGTTTCCAACTGATCTGAATCTTAAGTCTTCCACAATCAAAGTATCATAATGAGTTCATCAACAATTCACCAGAGAATTTTCAAACAGAAATCAGTATCAATATTCACAAGATTGAAAGAGGGTGTTTCCACAGTAGCTAATGACTTTGGCTCAATCACTCCTGAGGGTTCAAATGAAATCCAGCTCCTATGCTCAGAAAATGGTGGAGGTCTGTTATAGGCTGAGGCTGGGAGCAGATACTTGGGAATGGGATCTCTGTGAGGGGTCCTCTGCAAGTATTTTCAAAGAATTTCTTGGCCGACTTGAGATATTGTGTAACTGAGTAGATATACTACTAATTCATTATAATAATACGTTGCACTTCAGAAAAAAAACAATTTTAATTACCTTATAGAAGATCAAACTTCACAGGTTACCACTGAAAACCAAAAAATACACACTGCCAACATAGATGCCTTGGGGTGAGAAATTTGCGGCATCATTGGAGGCAAATCCACGCACAGACTTTGTCTGAGGTTTTGATCCAAGGTATTCCTCTGCACCAAGAATCACCTCAGATCAAAACCTTCAAAAGACTCCTTCTGAGGGCTGGGATTTGAGGAAACATTGGATTAAAAAGGTGGTGACAGTCTTTGCTGTGTTTTACATATCCCAACAGACAAGATCAACAAACAAGTAGCACAGTATTACAATAAGGAAAGCATACAAAACAAAGAAACAGTGAAACATCAAAAAGGTAACCAAGAAATAGAGAAAAAGGAGGAAATGTGAAAAGCAAATACACCATATGGCAGACAAGCCAAAATGAGGACCAAACACTCATGCAAGTCTGTTCTATGTATCTACATATATAATGTAAAATCTGTCTCAAAAGCTGTGAGGGAAATTTCAGAAAATGTGACAGGTCGCCATCCTCTTCTGAGGACTTTCAAGGTTTAATTTTAGTACACCAACCAATACTGGTTCTAAAAATACCTGAAAGTACTTGATTTGAAGGCGTGAGCTCTAATATATACAAGATCCATATTTTTTGCTAGCTTAATGACTTTTCACTATTTTTTGGTATCATCCATTTTCTTTTCTGTCTAGAAAATATTGAATTTTTGGTAGTGTTAATAAGTGATTTGGAGCAACCTCTGTTGTTTCCATAAAAGCTGAAGCCACTCTACAACTACATTACCATGAATACAAGTTTTCAGCCCCTGAACAATCTGCCACAATTGTCTCAAGCTGAACACAGAAACTCAAAAACACCTTTAACCTTATCACCAAAGCCTGATCTATATTGCAGTGAGTTTGAAGAGAAGTCTGAAGCTTGTGATGACAAAGTCATTTCTTACAAAAACTACTTATGCTGAGCTGGTCAAGTGAGGACAGGAGATTATGATGTCCAGTGTCTCAAGGCAAGTGTCCAATGGTGGAAGGTCAGTATAGATTCAATTTTACATAGATCTGATGGTACAAATAAAGAGAGTTGAATGTTGGACAATCATGTTACAGTTACACAAAAAGAGATATCAAATACTGGAAATCATGGCAAGATGTTACTTGGAATTGACAGAATCATTGTGTGCTGCAGGACAGATCTGCTCATGTGCATAAGACATTTGCTCTTGTAATTGAGGCAGTTTGATTCCCTGGGAATTTGGAAGCTCAGTTTCAAGCAGTTTATGGTGAAGGGAAGGAGTGGATCTTAGTACTGATTTTTAGGATCTCACATGGGTATTCAAAGAAATGGGAATTCCAATGAATTGGTATTTTTTATCTTTCTCTCATTTGCTTCTGTTTCACTCCCTTCTATTTCTCTACACTCTTTTTATCAAATGAAATGTATTCTTCTTATTTCTTCTTATTTCAAGTTTTACTCTTTGTTATCTTTACACTCTCATTTATTGTTTCATACTCTTTAATACCTTTTGACATCATTGAATTGATTTACTGTTGCTCCTTTTGAGGTCAAGGGTGCTACATCTGGTGGTGGTGCAGTACAGCTTGTGCTAACCTATGTGCTGCGCAGCTGTTAACCCTTGAAGTGTTGCTCTTTGAAGGTATGCTTTGGACCTAGGTTTTTTTTGTGGTTTTTTGAACAGCTGTGCTGCATTGCAATGCAACTGATCTTGTACAAAAGCTGCGCCCTGCTGAAACTTGCATGCAGCATGTTGCAGCACAGCTTACCCATTGTTGCCACAATCAATGAATGTATAAAGGCTTATCATTCATTGTGCATTTGCCCCTGATCAACATATCTCAAGAATCAATCTCCAAGAGTCCAATTGAAAGTTACCATGCAAAGCTTGATCATGATACACTGCCAGCATTAAATAGGTTCCCTGGTCGGAACATGACCTAGGCTGGGAATATCATTGAGAGAAGAATGGAGCATCAAATCATCTCGCACTGCACATCTGAGCCATAAAGCATACACTACATATGTGCAAACATCTGAGTAAATCCTTAGCTATCAGCTACATACAGGTCCGCTCAGTTATCTGCTCATCTAGATAAGGAAATCATGTGTAATACATGCTGTAACTTTGTTCAGATTGAGACACACATTTCAAAATATTGACTACATATATCACAATGGCTACTCAGGCAATATTCATGGAACTGTGTAACAGTAGCAGAATGGGAATCTGATCACTAGGACCCATATTCCCATCTGGGAACCTCTTTAATGCTGGCAGTGATATGGCTTTGGTCATTCTCTAATTTTCAATGTTTGTGCATGCAAATATCTGAAGAAGAAGTTTCAAAGATCCCCATGAAAATTACATCTCCAATTGAGAAAAAATCTAGGGAATTTTGCAAGGCTTCAACTAGGGATGATGGATCTCAATTTATGGAGATGCTAGGCAATGTTGAAGGTGTGTCTCAATCACTTGAAGCACCTTCTCATCATGGAAGAGATTGTCAAGAGGTCAATCCTATGAAGACAACCAAATGGAAATTAGAATCTGGACACAGCAAAAACAATAGGGGCTCAACTTCAGGCAAGAGGAATAGTCTGGATACAATATCAATTACAAGTCATGATTTGATTCTTGGATTTGATTTGAATATTGCACCACAAGAAGTTGACTTGGGAGCCAAAATTTCCAAAGATGCAGAAACTGACCCCAACCACAAAAAGAAAGAAATACAATCACAGAATTGGGATTCTAAGGATGCAAGATCCCATGGAGAGCTGCAAAAAGCTTCTGAAAGTTCACACCTGGAAGACACAAGAATTACCCCACCAGAGATATGTGCTATCTTTTCACCACAACCAATCAAGACAGTGAATCACTCACAATGTAACATTGGTGTTGATATGCAAAGTTTCAAAGAGCATACACCTATAGCTGTTTGTTCAGCTGCTGCCATCTTCTTCACAGGAAACCTGGTGGATTTCATTCAGGAGCTATATGTTCAGGGGACCACCCATGGAAGAATTCTGATTCAAGCAGGGAAAGAGATCTGGACACAGGAATTGCTTCTGCCTTATGTATATTTCATATTGACATTGAATCCAACCATTCACACTTGGGAAAGAATAAAGAAGATAACTGGCTATGTGTTCAGGGCCTACCATCTGTGGTATATGGAAAGCAACACAAACTTTGATAATGAACATCTTTCTAGGTTTGTTTTGTGGCACACAGATGTGATTTATCAAACTTGCAAAAACCCTTTTGTTTATGACATGGTTCAAGGGAAGGGGAGGGAGTCACTTCACAATAAACCCGGAAAAAAGATGTCCACAATTCCAAGAATACTTCAACTTGTTTATGGCACACTAGATGATGGGGGCTTCTACAAATTTAGAAGCCAGAAAAGCTTTCTCAGAAATCACCTTTCTACCACCTGGAAATCAGACTTTGTCAGAGGATATCCAGATGCAAATTTTGCTTCAAGCTCTACTGAAACTTTTGAGATAATTTGGAAAACCAAGTCACATGAGATAAGTGAAGCAGGAAGAGCTATTGTCTGGCCATCAAAATTTGGAGACACATCCAGAAGAGATGATCATGTTTTACTGGTACATGAAGATATAGAAAAATATATGATGAAGGAGAACGATAATGAGGTTAAGAGGTTTGTGCATCAATGGAAAGTTGAATTTGAATCAATGATATCATCAACAAAAACACATAAAGTTTTTCAGAATCTTCCTGTTGGTGATCTTGAACTTTTTGGCTGGGGATTTGACTATTATATATCAAGATTTGGCAAAAGAATTAGAAAGGATTCTGGACTTTCCCCATCATTTGAATATAATGTGAAGTTGTTTGATAACTTTCTTAACAAGAAGCCAGGCTCTGGGATCAATAAGACCTTCTGGACAAATTTTGGAAAACATATATCATTTGAGCAAAATAGGTGTGCAAGAAAAAGAGTGAAGAGCAGTGAAAAACAATAACCACAAGTCAAATCCACTTCAATATACCAAATATCTAAAGTCAAAACATTTATCCACTCTACATATCAAAATACCTTGTTTCAAAGAAATCATGTTTAACTCCAGTTCTTTTAGTCACTTCACATGTATAAGCTATCTGCTGTATACAATTACAGCTCCCAGCTAATAGTGACTGGTAGGCCAGATACTACCATGACTTCGACAGGATTTCAGCAGGATTTCAACAGGATTTCAACAGGATTTCAAAATGACTTTAAACTAATTTCAGCATGATACTGGGGTCATCTGCCTGTCATACCACCAAAATTGTGATGTGATCATATGACATTGTACATCTGTACACACCTTCTCCTGTATTCACAGATCAAGAATATATAGTTTATCAACCTTTATCATGTAAATTGACTGAGTTATTGAAGTTTGAAAAAAACACAGATAAAAAATACTATTTTTGTACTATAATTAAGACATGGATCTTTGATATTTTTACTCTTTGTCAATATACATATACAATAAATCTTAGATCCCTTTCTGTGATACACTTCTCTACATTTTTGTGCTTTACAGCCTTCCTGTACAAGGAACATTTCTATATCACTGTGAACATCATCCAACTTCCCCAAGTTGGAAGAGGAAAATGATTGATAGTGCAGTTTGTCATAAAAGGATCCAATACTGCACACCTGAGACATAACACTCACACTACATATGTGCAACAAGCTAAGTAAATAGTTGTCTATCATGTACATACAGGTCAGCTCAGTTTTTTGCCTGCCAGAATAAATGAAGGCCGTTGCTATTTGCAGCCCACATGAAATCCATGTAGGTGCTGTCCAAATTACGCCTACATGGTTGTTTTCCGCCAAAAAGCGCCTACATTTATGATGTAGGTGCTTTTTCCCTTTTCAAATGACGCCTGCAGGCTGAAAAACCAAAATAGGCGTCATTTGTGTACGCCTACATTCTAAAAATGAAATGTAGGCGCTCAAAAAAAGCGCCTACATTGTTTTTTCCATGTAGGCGCTTAAGTTAGTTATAAGGGTCTTATACATGTGTGAATACAAATCTATAAGGGTGTTGGTATATATATATGGGTGTTGGTATTAAATTATAAGGGTGGTGAGATTGATTATAAGGGTGGTGAGATTAATTATAAGGGTGTTGGTATTAAATGATAAGGGTATTAAATGTAAGAATGTGCATTTGATTATAAAATTATAAGGGTCTTATAATTAATTATAAGGGTGTTGGAATTAAATCATAAGGGTGTTGAAATTAAAGAATAAGGGTGTTGGTATTAAATTATAAGGGTGGTGGTATTAACATATGTAGGCGCACAAAAATTACGCCTACAGTCAAAAAAAAGATGTAGGCGCATTTTTGTGATGCCTACACAATAGGGGGTTTCAAGTCAGAAATATTTTGTGAAACTTTTTAAAAAATGGACAAGTTTTTTAAATTTTACGGTGGGTTTTTTTCTGCAAATATACGGTCAACACCATTCGGGACACATAAAAAGGTGTCCCAATTTTTTCAAATTTACGGTATATTTTGCAACATTGGACAACTTGTTGGACTGTAAAATACCGTAAATTTATTGACTTGAAACCCCCTAATGTAGGCGCTTCAAATTTACGCCTACATTTTATTTTTAGAATGTAGGCGTTCACAAATGACACCTACATTGGTTTTTCAGCCTGTAGGCGTCATTTGAAAAAGGAAAAAGTGCCTACATCATAAATATAGGCGCTTTTTTGTGGGAAACCTTTGGGCGCGTTCACTTAAGAAATTCTCAAGCAGAAATCACATTCTGTAAATTTTTGAATGCAAAAATGAAACATACACCACCAAATAGACACTTTAAATTTTGCAGAATGTGATTTCTCACCAGAAATTGCTTAAGTGAACGCACCCTTCATGTAGGCGCTGTTTTGGCAGCGCCTACATGGATTTTGTGTGGGCTGCAAATAGCAAGGGCCTGAATAAATCACATGTTATACCACATGTACCTCTGTTGAATTCAGAAAATTTGTCCCAAAAATTCACTATAGTGCGTGGAGGCAAGACCTTGGCAATTTGGGATCAATTAAATACAGGTAAATACTTCATAATTTGCCCTTTTGCCCCTACCAGCTCAAATTTCAGAACCTTCAATCAGGTTGGATTCTGGTTTCTTCATCCAGATTGTACACTCCTCATTTGACTTGAGCTTGGCTTCCTGTCTCAAGCCAACAAGCCCTTGGGCAGCAAGATGTGCTGGTTCTCAGCTTTCTAAGACAAAAACCCACAGCAATACGGCAAGAGCACCACACTATGTTGCGGTTGCGGTGCGGTTGCGTAGCGCTCTTGGGCGCCGGAATAGCAACACAATATAGTGCGGTGCCAGCGCTCTGCAATCCAGGTTCAAAAAACCTGTTGCTCAGAAACCCGCACCGCAATTGCGGTTGGTTTTTGACAGTTATTTAGGGCAAATATTGCGGAAATAGGGCAATATTGCGCATTTTCCGCAATATTTGCCTGACCGCTCCACAACGGCAAGGTAGAATAAAAACGCCCCATTGCGGAGTGGTTGCGTAGCGTAATAATGCGCCGACTGCGCAACACAATGGAAATAGGTTGAAATCCATTGCGTTGCGTAGCGCTTGCGGTGTTGTCCACAGAGATAAAATGCAAATGTAAAAAAGATCAACTCTTCAGAAAAGAACAAGATTTCATTATTTTTCCCCAAAAATATATGCAGGGATTGCTCTAAGGGACAGCATTCCATGACTTGTTTTTTTTGGAAAAGTTGATGGCTTGGTATGGATTTATTGTTTTGAAAAAAAAGAAAAAAAAGATATGCATGGAATCCTCTCAGTGAAAGCATTCCAGAACTTTTATTGGCTGGTGGGTATGACAAGTTTTGTGGTTGAGCAATTGTTTCAGGCCTTGGTTTTGAATTGACAATGATTTGCCTCCATGCACTATACATAAAATTCTGTAGCTGCTCAGGCAATATTTTTGAAGCTATTTCTCAGTAACAGGAAGGATGTTTCATGCAGTTGAGTTGATGAGATTACACCAAAACATTGAGTCAGTGTATGTAGTCAATCTTAAAAAAAGTTACAGCATGTATCACATATGAATAACTTATTCTGATGAGCAGATAAATGAGCAAAACTCTATGTACATGATACCAACCTATTCACAGAGCCTGCTACACATATGTAGTGTGGGTTTCATGGCTCAGGTGTGGAGTGATAGATCATTTTATGACAAATCATACTCCCAATCATTTTTTCCTGCCCACTTGGGGAAGTTGAATAATGTTTGCAGTGTATGCAATTGTGGATTCTACATGAGCAGTCCAATTTTTCCCTGATTTGTTGTTCCTAGGAATAATATGAAGAAATTAATAGCAGAAACCTTTGGAGAGTACTATTTACACACATATCAGTTAATTTGAGCACAATTTTGGCCCTAAACTTTGTCACAGTTTGCCTGAAGCTCAAAGAACTCCAGCAAATTCAACCTCTGTATACAATCAGCAATTACATATATAAATACTGCCCATAGACAAAGGCTGTAGGGGACAAAAATGCAGAGAAACATATTGTGGAAAATATGATCAAGTGTAATGTCTATGTATGTTGATACAGATTGAAGATGTTCAAGATCCAAGTCTTAAGTATAGCATAAAAATAGTATTTTTTATCCATGCTTTCTTCAAACCTCAATAACCCACTCAATTTACATGATATTAATAAACTTTATATTTGTGATCTTTTCATACAGGAGCAGGTGTATACAGATTCATGATGTCATCTGATGACATTGGAACTTTGGTGGTATGATGGGCAAATGACCCCCACATTGCTAAAAGCTGAACAAAAATGCTACAGCAAGGACTGAGCAACAACAGAATGACCAACACAAAGGAAGTCTTAACAAATCTTTGATATTTATGACTAATACTCTGGGTGCTTCTTATAACCTGCTCAGATGATTGCCACTGGACTGTGTAAAGAGTGAAATACAACTCACATACACATTGGGTGGGGCAAGATCCAAGCCCTTGGAACATTGTAGTATTTAAAGCTCAAAAAGAGCTTTACAACACCTAAGAAGGGATAATCTACTAATGTATGAATAGTAGAATTTGCCTAAAGAGTGCCTTATTCAAAGAAACCTGCACAAGGGCACTTGCTGACCACGTTGTGATAACAGAGAAAAAAATAAAAGGCACCAGAGAAAAGTTATCAATACTTTTAAGTATTATTCCAGTTTTTAAGCGCAAAAAGTTCACAAACAATATCAATTGCTAGCAATACTGTTCACCATGTAAATATTCTTGTAGCACGTCGACGTGCACACACAAAAGAATTTCCTTAGACCCTGTAACAACCCATCAAAGAGGTGCCACAACAAGCACATCTTCCCCTTATCACCTGGGAGGTTGAAAGTCAGTTGACCCCTGCTGACAACAAAGGATTCTGCAAATCCTTTGAACAAATCACAAAGCACAAAGGGTGCTCAACAACAATCTCAGTCTAAATTTGACCAAAGGACTTGAAGTTTTATTTCAAAACTCTCCGTGTGTGCACGTCGACGTGCCACATGGATATTTACATGGTGGTTGTATGTATTATTCCTAAAGGGAATAATAGTCTTGAACACATGTAAATAAATTTCTCCTGGCTTGAAGGGGCGGATTTAAATGACCTTAGTACAAATACAGTATAATTTAATATTGATTAAAAACACTATACCAAAGATAAAATATAATCAAAAGGGGAACCACAATCCCCAAACCCTTCATGAGTATATATATTGATGTGTTACAAGTCTTACAATGGTCAACAGCCTCAAAAACCAATCAATTTTGACCAAAACCCCCTAAAAACCTTGTAATGATGTGATGTAATGACTTTGTTACTAATAGATGATGTAATTTGCACAGCCAATAGTGATCAATGATGTAATCACATGTTACACAGCACTTCTTATGATGATTACAGGTG